CTCTCTCTCTCTCTCTCTCTCTTGTGTTGTTCTCTACTACTATGTTGCTTTCATGAATGAAGTTTTGGATACACAAACACCGCATATGGTCTTGTATGCATGAGCACATATTGAAGAACACCGATGCAGATTGAACTTTATCATTCTTTATCTTTTTTTTTTTTGGTTTTTTTTTTTGCGTTGTTTTCTTATTCGCTTTTCAAGTTGGATTGTAATGCATATTGTTTGCTGATTCCGGTGGTTCAAAGATGATGTTGTTTTCTGTTTATTACTTTTTTCGCTTATTCTAGTGTTAATGATTGCCCTTTTTTTTTGCATCTTTGTCTCTTTATATATATATATATATATATATATATATATACGTGTAGAAAACCTATTGAAGTGCACACCCAGTTACTGATGTATATATATGGTTTAAGTATGGGAGAGTCAAAAGAGAGAGAGAGAGAGAGAGAGCAGAGAAAGTAACAAGAAGAAAAACAACAGTAACAGCCGTGATGAAAAGTGAAGAAAGAAAGTAATTGCTGTCTTTCTGTAATGATATCCATCTCTCTCTCTCTCTCACTCACTCTTTTTCTTTCTTTCTCTCCTTATTTGCCTGTGTCTTATTATTATTATTATTATTATTATTATTTTGGGAGTTTTCCCTTTCTTCTTTCCTTTCTTTGCGCAGTGTAGTGGTTTTCCCTCAGTATCTTTTTTTTTAATAACTCTGAGAAGGCAGTGAGGGGAGACTGCGTGCCATAAGAGCGGACGGCATGCAACTAAACTTTTTTTTTTTTACTCTTTTTGTTTGTTTTTCTCTCTCTCTTTTTCCGAAAGGCAATAATATATATATATATTGTTTGCTTATATGTTAAATGTTAGTTGTGGTGTTTGAGGATTTATGGACGTTATCTTATGTAATCCTTGTGCTATGATGGGGTTGCTGTTATTACTATTACTGGTAATTAGTATTATTACTATCACTACGATTGATCTTTTTCTTTTTTTTTTTTCTCCTCTGCACCTGATCGACGGGTTTGAATTCCCACAGATGTTGTTTGAGCGTGAATATTTATAAATGTATTTATATACTTGTTTCCAATCTATTCTTTCTCTAGTTATTTATTTATTTAATTATTTCATTTATTTACATTATTCACTTGTTTTTTTTTTTTCTTCTTCTTTTTTCCCTCCTTTCTCATGTTCTCCACAAGAAACACAAAATAAAAGTAGTTGCAGGAGCCGACGGGACGCTCTTGTAAGTGCGCGTCGTGTTTTACTTCATTTCTCTTCGTAGTGTTTTCACTCTTCAAACGGTGAGAAGAAAAAAAGAAGGAAAGAGAAGAGAAGAGACGGGATTTTAATCCAGCTTCTTTTCATATATATACATATATACATACACATAGAGAGAGAGAGAGAGAGAGAGAGAGAGAGGATACTCAGAGACTGAAAAAGAAAAAAAGAACAAAACAAAGAACAAAACAAGAAGAAAAAAAAAAAACGAGCAGTGTATAGAGAGATATAGGGAAGAGCAAACAAAAAAGAAAAGAAAAAAAGGAAGAATAAAGAAGATACGGTCCTCTAGTAAAGCTCTGTATTTCGTATCACTGTTAGTGCTAATTTTCTTTTTCTTCTCCACATTGTAACAAAAGGGAAAGAGAGAGGAATCACAGCACCTATCACTAACATACATACATCTATACATATATCTTATACATACAAAGTTATACGCATATACCCATATATATATATATATATATATACTGCGTAATAACATTTCATAGAGTGAGTGAAATTAGTTGTAAAGCTTTTCGCTTCATTAGTCTCTGTTGCTTGTGGGTTTGTACGAGACCGTTCTCTCAGATTCTGATAAACGAGAAGAAAAAGAACCACCACCACCACAAGAACAACAACAACAAGAAAGAAGAATAAATAAAAAAAAAAAAAAACAACAACAACAAAGAAAACACGTGTAAACGAAATAAAGAAGAAAAAAAAAAGATAGTGAGTATTATTTACACATTCTCGTGATGGCGGAAGTATCCAAGTATAAGAAACTCACACCTATTGACCATGTACTCGTGCGGCCTGAGATGTATGTTGGCAGTGTGGAGACAAACCCCACGCCTATGTTTGTCTTTGACCACGAGAAGGGATGTATGGTGTGGGAAACACTACAACTCAACAGTGGTCTCTTAAAGATTGTGGATGAGATTCTTCTTAACGCCTCGGATAACTTATCCAATAAAGGCGGTCGAATGACTTATATTCGTGTTTACATCACAGAAACTGGAGAGATTACAATAGAAAACGATGGAGCTGGTATTCCCATTGTTCGCAGTAAGGAACATAAACTGTATATTCCTGAAATGGTTTTTGGACATCTTCTCACGAGTTCTAATTATGATGATGAGAGTCAAACCACAGTGGCAGGTCGTCATGGTTATGGTGCCAAACTAACAAATATTTTATCCCACCGTTTCTCTGTTCGCTGTCGTACAAAAGGAAAAGAATTTCATATGAGTTGGCAAGATCATATGCGTAAAGCCACAGCCCCACGTGTTTCTAATGTAGATCCCAAATCTAAAAATGTCACTCGTGTATCGTTTCTACCAGATTATGAACGTTTTGGATTTAAAGAGAATAAAATTTCGCATGATATGAAACGTGTACTTCATAAACGAATTATGGATCTTGCGGCGATGTTTCCTAATATTGAAATATCTCTTAATGGGACTCCATTTGGTTTTAAGTCTTTTAAAGATTATGCTAATTTATATTCTACACCAACCAGTGGTGGAGAAATGCCACCCGCACCTTATGTATATGAAAGTCGTAATGGTTCCATTGCTTTTGTACCTTCACTCACCGCAGGTGTTCGGCGTATATTTGGTGTGGTGAATGGTGTGGTAACCTTTAACGGAGGAACACACTGTAATGCGGCTCAGGAAATACTTCAAACCACACTAGAGAGTGTGGAACGATCATTAAAGAAGGAGAATAAAGTAATTGATATTAATCGTGTAATGCGTCACTTTACCATTCTCGTCTTTCTTGTACAAGTACAACCAAAGTTTGATTCTCAAAATAAAGCACGACTTGTCTCTATACCTGTAATGCCCCGTGTGCCTAGACAAGAAGTGACGAATTTTCTTCTTCGTATGCCCTTTCTTGAGGCCCATGTAAATACAATAACAGGACAATTAGAGAGAGAGTTAAATAAAGAAATGGGTGTTGGTCGACGTATGAGCAGTAAATCTCTTATCGCTTCTATTACGAAATTAGTAGATGCCACCACCACTAGACGAGATCCACGGTGTACACGTACATTAATTGTTACAGAAGGTGATTCCGCTAAAGCTCTCGCACAAAATTCCCTTTCAAGTGAACAGAAACGATACACTGGTGTGTTTCCACTTCGTGGTAAATTACTAAATGTACGTAATAAGAATCTTAAAAGACTCAAAAATTGTAAAGAACTTCAAGAATTATTTTGTGCATTAGGGATTGAATTAGGAAAAGTTTACAAGGATGCGGATGAGTTACGATATCAACGTTTACTTATTATGACAGATCAAGATGCAGATGGTTCACATATTAAAGGTCTTGTTATTAATGCCTTTGAAGCTTTATGGCCAACATTATTAATGCGAACTCCAGGTTTTATTTCCGTATTTTCTACACCTATTGTAAAGGTTCGTTTACGTGATAAATCTGTTATCCCATTTTTCAGTATGAAGGATTTTCACAAGTGGGAAAAAACGCATGGAAATGTATCCTACACGGCGAAATACTATAAAGGTCTTGGTACCTCTACCACAGCAGAAGGAAAAGAGTATTTTAAAGATATGGAAAAACATACAATGCGACTTGTAGTAGATCGATCAGATCATAAATTACTTGATAACGTCTTTGATTCACAAGAAGTAGAATGGCGTAAGGATTGGATGACCAAAGCAAATGCCTTTACAGGTGAGGTAGATATTGATCGAAGTAAAAAGAATCTTACCTTACCAGAGTTTGTACATAAGGAGATGGTACACTTTGCTCTCGCTGGTAATGCCCGTGCCCTTGCACATGCTGTAGATGGATTAAAACCTTCACAACGTAAAATTTTATGGGCTATTATGCGACGATCTGGAAATGAATCTGCAAAAGTAGCCCAACTTTCTGGTTACATCTCTGAAGTTTCTGCATTCCATCATGGTGAGGTATCTTTACAGGAGACGATTATTAAAATGGCACAAAATTTTACAGGAGGAAATAATATCAATCTTCTTGTACCAGAGGGTCAATTTGGATCTCGTCAGCAGATTGGTAATGATCACGCTGCCGCACGATATATTTTCACACGTCTTTCCGATATTACCAAACTACTCTTTCCTAGTGAAGATGAACCCCTTTTGGATTACGTGGTGGAAGAGGGACAAAGTGTAGAGCCCACCCATTACGTCCCTGTTCTTCCACTTCTTCTCTGCAATGGCAGTGTTGGTATTGGATTTGGTTTCGCCTCCAACATTCCCCCGTTTCATCCACTTGATGTTTCCGCTGCGGTGCGCTGCATGATCCACGGCGAGGGGGCGCGGGCGGTGGCACGTCGACTGGTGCCGTGGGCTGTTGGATTTCAGGGCGATGTGCGCCGCGATGGCGAGGGCAGTTTTGTTGCGGTTGGTCGCTATCACTATCACCGCGGGGGGCGGGTGCGGGTGCTGGAGTTGCCGTGGACGTTAAGTGTGGAGGCATTCCGCGAACACATCTCTCGACTCGCGGCGAATGATGTCGTCCACCGCATCGCCGACTACTCCGGGGCGAATCACATCGATATTGATCTGGAGGTCGCTGAGGGTTCCATGACAACATACGCCGAGTGTGAGCGGGAGTTGGCCCTTACGCAGCGTATTTACATTAACGGCACAGTCTTCTCCCCTAATGGGACACTCACACCATTAGAAGGAGATCTCGCCCCTATTCTACAGTGGCACTATGATCGTCGTTTGGATTTATATAAAAAGCGACGACAACGTAATTTAAGTCTTTTGGAGGCGGAACTCGCACGACTAAAGTCTACATTAAAGTTTGTTCAACACTTTCGTAGTGGGAAGATTGATTTTGTGAATGCCACAGATGACACATTGTCCAAAACGTGTCAGAAATTAGGAATGGTACGTGTAGATGATGGCTATGATTACGTACTACGCAAACCCATCACTTACTTTACCAAAACAAGTTTGGAAAAACTCATGCATAGTATAGAGGATACAGAAACTCGTATAGAAAAACTACGTAAAACCACACCTGTTCGAATTTGGCTTGATGAACTAGATCGATTTGATCGTGCCTTTCAGGATATTGAACAAAAGGCCAACGCCATGATATTGAAAGAGCGACGACAAGGATTTCCCATGGATGACATTGTTCCTTCTCTACGACAACCAAATCTTGAATTTGAGGAAGTAAAGGCAAGTAAAGGTCCACCCATGCGAATTAAAGTTCGTAAGTATGAACCCCCACCGGCAAGTAAACGCCCAGCAGTGGGTGGGGCTAGTGGCGGCGGCAGTGCGGCAAGTGCGGCGGCGGTAGTGGCGCATGTGAAGGCAGCGAAGAAGGCTGCAAGGGCCGGCGGTGTGCAGAAGATGGTGGTGAATTATGTTGGCCAACAGGCGGCACGTGTGTTGCCACGATTACCGTGGTTTATCTTTTAATCCATTGATTTATCTCTCTTGTTTTCTTTTTTCTTTGTTTTTTTTTTTGTTTTCTTTCTTTGTTTGTTTGTTTGTTTCTTTATTTCAGTGTCTTTGCGCTGGTTTTTTCATCTTCTTATCTATCTCCTATCCCCCTTTTATCATCTGCTTGTCTTGAGTTGATTTACAGGAAAGAGAAGAGGAGAGATATGCGTCTTTTTCGTTAACAAAGTAATATTATTATTATTATTATTATTATTATTATTATTATTATTGTTTTCTTTTTTTTTTTCTTGGGTTTGTGCCTATTTTCGCTTTCTTTCCCATTATCTTTCCATACAAGAATAATTCCCATAAATACTTAATACTAATAGTGTTAATTATAATTATTGGTGGCGGTAGCAGTGGAGCGCTAAGTGGTATTTTCTACTGTCTCTGTTGCTTTTTTTTTTTTTTCTTTCTTTTTTTTTAGTGATTGTTTGGTATTCTCGCTTCTCTGTTATCCTCTACAAGGATTGGTTAATGAAATTCATGTGAATTAAAGCTGCTTACAAAACAGTAATACAAGAAATAACCAAAATTGAAGTGAATAGAAATTTTTACAGAGAGAAGAATAGTAGGGGATCCCTATTGGACCAAAAGAAAAAGAAAAAGAAAAAGAAAAAAAAATACACAAGCAAAAAAAAGGTCATATTTGTTGATCTTGTTACTCTTGTTGTTAGTTTTTTTTTTTCTTTTTTTTTTCTCTTTCTTAATGGGTGATAATAGATCATAGACGTATATTTATTTATTTATTTATTTATTTATATATTGCGTGAATAAGGAGAGGGAAAACAGAAAGTTGAAGCAAAACAAGAAAAAAAAAATGAGTTTAAGAGGGTGTAGGAAACAAAAAAAAAAGAATGAAACTCTATTATTAGCGCACATATATGCATACAAAATGAGAGAGAAAAAAAAAAGAAAAAGTGATACTCTGCCATAGATGAGAAAAAAAAATATATATATAGCGAGGAAATCAGTTACCTTGGAGGGGGGTCTGAATGACGACTTCTGTTTATTATTACTATTGTTATCATTATCATCATTTTTGTCTTTGTATTTCTCTTTATTTCTTTATCTCACTGTTTATATCTGTTTGTGAGTGAGTGAGTGAGTGTATGTTCTTAATTTGTTGTTGCTATTTTTTTTTTTTTTTTTTTTTTTTTTTATTCTTTGGTTGTGGTGTTGCCTCTTATCATCAACTTTTTTTTTTTTTGTTTTCTCAGAGCTGCTGTCCTTCTGCAGAGGGAGGGAGTATATATATATATATATACTCAGAGAAGAATAGAAAAAGTAAAAAAAAAAAGTAAAATAATAATAAGACAATATCAATAAAACTGAGCCTGTGTTAAGGGCTCATGGAGCTGGACTCCATCAAGACACGGTTTACGGAGTTACAGGGCTACTATGAGGATGAGAGCAAGAGTGATGATGATATCATTTACGCTGTATACAATTGGGTAAAGAGTGCCCATATTGTCGCGCAGTTGTTATTATTGGAGGGCCGTTTCCCTGAACTCCGCCGTTGTCTCGATTTGTGCCGTCAAGTCCTGCAGGAACAACACCCCCCGGCGAATGACCGCCAAGTGTTAAAAAACGCCACCGGTGAAGATCGTCTCTTGATGGATTCTCTTCTCGTCCGCACTTCACAATTGGAACGACAATATGAAGAGGCCCGGGCCCACAGTAAAGGACGAGACACGGAATATTATTTAAATAAACTTCTACACACTGATGAAGAGACGGGACGGGATGGAAAAGAGAATGGACAAGAGAACGTTACTCCACCAGAACGTGGTATCTCCTTTGGACGACGTACACGACTGAATAGATGGAAAGTTCCACCCATATTACCCGCACTTGTAACTCAAACACAATTATTTATTCGACCCACTACCGATGGATTTGTAGATTCAATGGGTGACTCACATGCAAAATCATTGCGATCATCCTACTCTTTAGCTGGTTTCAGAGCAGAAACCCATCCCACCTACTCACATGATATTACACTAGGTAACAATGTTGATACTTCTACGATTGCTATATTATCTTCTTCTTATGTTCCTACTCCTACTGTTAGTTCTCCTCCTCATCCTTCCGCTGTTTCTGCTATTGATGATAATGATAATGATGATGATGCTGCTGCTGCTAAGGAGGAAGAAGAGGAAGAGGGAGAGAAAAATGATGAACCGATTGATGTGTTCACACCCCTCTCCTCTATTTCTTCATCTATGATAGAATCACAACAACTTGCGGCACTGCATAATGGGAAGCTGAAAACAGGTGAGGAACATTTACCGTCAGTCCCAGTGAAGACTTCTACTCATCGTAAAGTTCATTCAAAGTATGGTCGTCTCGTTCGACCACTTTCAGCACGTGTAGATAGTACCGCTTTACCATCTGGTTCTCTTCATCATCGTCTCTTAATGGATGCGGATGCCCATGTTATTAGATCTGCTATTGCTATTAAAACAGCAAATGAAATACGATATCAATCGATGGCTTTTATGCAATCACTTAAAAATAGGGCTTCCTCTCTTGTACAACGAACACGTTCTCAGAGGAGTACCTCACTTAGTACTGAAACTTGGAGAGAGGAGATTGAAAAGGAAAAGAATAGTGGAATAGAGAGTGAAAGTCCTGTTCTTCCTCCACTTTCCTACTGTTCTTCCGTTAGTCTTAATACAATGGGACAAAGTGTACCTTCTTCAAAACCTTTTCATCAAACCGTTTCATCTCCATTGCATGGAAAAGAAGAAACAATTCCACCAACATCCATTACTGGAATCATAATAGAAGAGTCAGAGATAAAAAATATGAATTCTATGACTGCAGGAAAGCATGATACTTCACTAGAGCCAAAAGAAGGAATAAAAGAAGGAATCTCTGATACTGTCCCTTCTAATATGTATAAGTTGGATGAAATAGCTATGATTCCATCTCTTTCACCACAAGCAAAAGAAGAATTGGAAGAGGCTCTTTCCCAATATCAACAAGAGAAAGAAAAATTAGATGCTTCTAGTAAAGCTATGCATTTGAGAGCAAAGGTTCAAAGTGAAATATTTAAACTGCAAGAGGTGAATGTAAAGGTAGAGGATACAGCTGTTTGGAAACGACGACGAAAACTTCATACCGCTTTAAATGATCGTGCCACAACATCAGCCGCTTCCGCATCTGAATTTCGTTTTAATTCCCCTATTTCAGCATTAGATTCAGATACGATTTCTAATCATGCTTGGGCAGCGGTGGCTACGCCAGGAACCGCATCTACAGTCTCTGCAAAAGGAGGAGTAGAGACACTTCTGTCGGATGATCAATATGCACCTACAGCTGAACGTATTGCGAAATTGGCTGCTGTAAGACCCACAGAATGGGATTCACAAGAAGAAGAAGAAGAAGTATTGATAACTTCCCATCCCTCTGGTACTCATCATCCTATAGATGAAAAAGAAAGTACTCAGAGATGTTTTCATAATAATAACAATAATAATAATAATAACAAATCTTTGGGACATACAACAACAGATATGTTAACGGTTAGATCTACATCAGGAACTACAAGTTCGTTAATGAAAGGTACGGATGCTTCCTTTGATGCAGTAGAACAAAGACTTAAAGTATTGGAAGCATCTACTCATATTGCTTTCCCTGATGTACATCACATGGTATGGAAACGAGCAAAAGTAAGAGTAGAACAACAACGACGACTTACAAATCATGAAGGAATTCTTTCTATGACATCTGAAAAAGCATTCCCTTCTTTCTTTTTTAATAATCAGCATAATGAAGAAGTTTCACCTCCTGGAAAAACAGATGTTGCTCCTATTAAAAAGGTTTGGGCCTCATTACAACGTTTGAGACGAGAGAGTACTTATAAAATGCCATTATCCGTTGAAGATACAAATTTTATGAAGGAAGAAGAAGAAGAGGTTAAAAATACATCTGATGGAATAATATTACCACCGCAATTATTTCATTCAGTGGAAGAATTGCGTTATCATGTTCACTTGGATGAAGCGGATGCTGTAACACTTTCTATGTGTTTGCCTCTTCACTTGGCAACTGTACGAATACAACGTATGTGTAAATTATTTATTGCTAAACGTGAAAAAATGCGACGTTCTGCCGCTATACAAGAACACTTGAGATTATTAGAAATTAAAGAGGAAAGTGCTGTTGTGATTCAACGGTACGTACGCCGACTGCTTGCACGGAGACAAAAGTTAACCATTGCATTACGAGTTAGTTATATGAATGATCAACGTGTAGCTCATGAGATGATTTCGGATGAAACGCTTACAAATGATCCTGTGAATTCTAGAAGATTAACTGGTGGACATCTACGTTGGCGCTCTTCTGATAGTGCCGTAACACTACATAGTCCAATCCAAAGTTTTCGTCGTTCCCCAGATTTGCAGCAGCCACTTTCTTCAACTAGTCAAGGTCAACAAAATGTATTCAGTCCTTTACTCCCATTATTCTCACGGCAATTGTATTGTTTACCTCAAAAAGGAAATAGAGCCCCATCTACACGTTTTGTACGATTACGTCGTATTCAGGAAAATATTGCATGTCGTGTTATTGTTCGTGCTTTCCGTGCCTATCGTCAGAGATTAATCTTAAAATGGGAACGAGAAGCACGAGCCTGTGTGGCTTTTGTTACCCAAAAAATGAGTTCGGATGAGGCATTTGGTTCTATAATGGAAGATGAAGTTTCATTCCCTGCTGCCTTTCTTGATAGGACAGCCGCGATTGGTGAACGATTAATCATAGACTCCGTTTTTAATGATTTTGGCGCATCCAGTGTCTTTCCACTACCGCGAGATCGAATCATGGGAGATGTGGTGGCGGCGTGGGAGGCCCGCACGGCGAAGACTCGACGCGCCGGTGATTTCATGACGCCACTGGAGCCCGTGCGGCTTTCGGAGTTGCGGCGGACGTTGGCAGAACGGGAGGAGGCCGCGGCATCCCTGCGGCGTAGACAACAGGAATTGCAATTGGAGGAGGAAGAGGAATGGCGGCGGCAGCTGCGGGTGCGAATGGATGCGGTGTTATTACTACAACGATGTGCACGTGGATATGTCGTGCGTTCCCGTCTCTTCGCACATCTACAGAGTGTACAGGAAGTACTGGAGACCCAACATCGCCGAACAGAGTTGTTGGGAGATGTTACCTACGGGATGACAACACCACGTGGTGGAAACAATACCAGCGGTAGAAATTTACTTCATATAGCCTCCGCAAAGGGAAAACCTATTATTTCAGAGGATCATCCTATTCCTCCGCATGTGGCAGATGTAATTGAACAGGGTATTAAACTTCGTCATTCCATGTGGTTTGGAGAAGATGAAGAATCACAACGTGCAAGTTTACGAGCGATTGTGATGATACAATCGTTTTTGCGATGGCACATTAGTTTGAGTATTTTGGCTGATCATCAGAATAGTGTTTACATTATTTTGATTCAACGTAGATGGCGTTTGGTGCTTAAACGACGAGAGATGCTGCGAGAAAAGAAGCAGAAGTACATTGTAGAGACATTGCGGAAAGTCGGTTATTAGGTCAGTCATGTAATTATGTAAAGCTGAAGTTTATCTTCTCAATTTATTATTATTATTATTATAGTCAAATGATGTTTTTTTTTTTTTTTCTTTTCTTTCTTTTTTCTTTTTTTTGGATTTCAGTTTTCATATTATTTGCGTCTGTCTGTGTCTGTCTCTCTGTGATTGTAATTTTTGATATTTATTCTTTCTTGGAATGAACTTTGGAGCCAAGAAAACAAAGAAATATAGTTTTGCCATGTATCATTTGATGGAATCTATAAGTACAGTAAAAAAAAAAAATAATAATAATAATGTTTTTTCTGTTTTTTTTTTTTTTTTTTTTTTTTTTTTTGTTTTACTTTACCTTTTTTATTTATTTATTTATTTGTTTATTTATTATTGCTTATGTTTGTAGCTCTACTCTTTTTTCTTTTTTTTTTTGTGTTTTTCATTCTTTATTTTTTCTTTATTTCTTGTTAAGGGGAAGGGAACTGAAAAAGGACAGGTTTTGGGGAAATAGGAAGAGCACTATTAGCGGGGAAAGTATACATCATGCATCGCAGAACATTTCGCCAACTGCAGCAGGTTATGCAGAACCCACAAGTTGGCTCTTCTAATATTCCCTCACCGTATGCCGTAGAAGGTGGTCATGTTCCTATTTGGTCTATTGTGAACGGCATTGTACAAAAGAGAAATTGGGTATTTCGTAATCCAGAGTGGTGTGATCTCTGCAAAGAGCCAGTGGCCCTCTGGGTAAATCACCACGGTCGCAAAGATCATGCACTAATGGATATGCATTATACACAGATGATTGAGTATCCACGACGATGGAACCCTGAGGAAATTCTTAACGTTTTTTTTGATGAACTGCAATTACCTGTTGAAACATATCAACGTTACTACGCTACGTATGAAAGAGAACATCGGAATGAACTTTATGCGATGCTTCTTAAATTAGAGGAAGCAAAAATGTTGTACTTTGGGGAACCACGAGATACTTATCTTCATCGTATGCAAGGTGGTCTACGAGGTATGGATCATCAAGGAGCATTAGTGTTACACCGTTATCTTTTAGGTCCATTTATGCGACTCTACCCTAATGGACATATACAAGATTATTCAAATCTCGTAGATTTTGTAACGTGTGCGTATAATATGGAAACTGTCTATGATCTTTGTGGGTTTTATACGCTTGATAAAGTAGCACTAAAGGCTGACTATAAACCAAGTTCCCCTGCTGCTTTGGGTTTGGGTGGTATTGCTGTACACTCATCTGCTTCACATGGCTTTACTAAACAAGCAACCGATCAACGACAAGAATTACAACAACAACAACGCCAAGGTTCAGTAGGGAGTTCTGGTGGTCGTAGTGCTGCGGATATGGAAGAAGAAGCCTTTTCAAGAAAAGCCGTTTTTGTACGTCAACTTTTGGGTCAATTGCGGTGGTTGACATTACCTGCTGAAGAACATCCAGCAGGTTTCACATTTCCAGAACATTTAATCCTACTTGGTGAAATCTGTCTTAAGTCTCTAGTTGTGGAGATTATAGCAGCCCGGTTGTGTGAGTATATGGTACGGGTAGAACCAGTCTGGCGAGATCACGGCTATGAACGTGTAAAACTCAATGTAGACAAAATCATGAAGTCTCATGGTGATATTCTCCCTGAACCTGTGAAGTTCTTTTACCGTACCATGTCTCCAAAGTTGGATGACCTTTATAGCACCAAAAGAGGTCTCCTCGACGAAACATTGGAGAAAGAAGTAATTACAAACCAAGGGGAAAAGAGTACATAACACGATGAAAGAGTGACGGGAAGGGATACCAGAGTAAATGGTCCTTTACAGTCAAAAAAAAAAAAAAAAAGAAGAAAAGAAATACAGCATGACTGGAAAAAATTCAGACCCCTTTCTTTCTATCTCTCTCTCTCTCTCTCTCTCTCCATGTGTGTGTGTGTTTCTTTGGGTGCTTTTTCCCCTCTGTGGTGCTCATTTTGCCTGCCATGAAATTTCTTATGATGTTGGTGTCTGTTTCATGCCTTTGCTGTTCCTATTTCCCTTCCTGTATTGTGGTTACAGGAAAAGTGGTAAATGCATGAACAGATATCTCTTGATTTATTGTACTGCGGTGCATCTGGTGCTCTGTTGCTCTGTTGTGTCATATGATTCTCTGCGTTTATAGTTTATTTGATTTTTTTTTTTCTTTTTACCACGTTTGCTCTATTTTTTTTTTTTTTTTCTTACTCCCGCAATTGTACTTCTCATAATGCATCTCTAGAAAAGCACATCAATTATTTTTTTTTTTTCCTTTTTTTCCCTTCTCATGCAAGGGGAAAGAAAAAAAAGGTCGACGTGGCCGATCTAACCGCAATGTTTACCTCCACAACATGTGTGCGGAATGTCATGTCAACCATAGGGGCAATTCGAACATCACCGGTAATGTATGCACGACAGGGTGGTTTGTTTCAAGCAATTTTTCCACAGTGGAATGGGAAATCTTCTCAAACTTCTTCAGATTCGCCCCACACAGGCAATAACGATGAAATAACAACAATTCATAACAAAACACCATCTTATAGTTCTTCCGCTGTCACCACATCAAAAACTGCACATAAATCAAAGGTCACTTTGGCAGAGTCTTCCACACCAACGTCTTCTGACGTCAATTCCTTTCTTTACACGATTCCACCCCAAAGACGCGTGGCCCGTTGGTTCTTCCCAGGATTTACGGATCAAGAAAAACGTGCAGGAAAAAAAACAACAAGCACGCAATCACAGGAAGAAGGAACAAAGAATTCCAAAAACAAAAACAACACGTCCGTAATGAAATCCAACACGGTAGCAAACACTCCAACATCAGGGTCACAAGATGTAGTAGAAAAAGAACATCGACAAAAAGAAAATGCTACCAACAATCCAACAAGGATTGAACTAAAAGTATCAGAACAGCATTCTACGCGTGGTGGTGCTGCCATTGGTGGGACCCAGCCCGTAAGGGGTCTTTCCGATCACCACCTCCCGTCTGCCTTTCGCGAGTATGTGGAGCGGCGCAACCAGCATCTAAAGGCCATTCTGATGAATGCGCTTGGCAGCGACTTTGCAAAGGCCGGTGTAGACAACAATGGATTGCGTATGAGCTTTTCTGCTGCTGCGTCAGAGGCGGCAAAGCGTGCAATTGGTCTCCGGCGTGTGTCGCCCAAGCTTCTCATTTCGTGCGTTGCCGGGCCCGACAACGTCTGGGACTGGGTCGACATTACCGCGCATCCAACAGCCGCCCTTGATGAGTACCGGAATGCGCTGTCTGAGGTTCTGCTTGATCTCGGTGCCCACGAGACGCTCGTGAGCGATGCACTGGAGCCCATGCTGCTGCCACAGGCAACTGTTATTCGCGGGTGTCATTGTCTTGTTGTGCGGTATGCAGTGGACGTTGCCAGCACTTCCATGGAAAGCTTTCAGGACCTCACAAACCGCTTCACCATCCTCGTGACGGACACGCGTGTTGTGACGATTCACCGGACGCACTGCGCGTTTGTGGAGAACTTGAAGCGTAACTGGTCGCAGGTGACGGGGAAGCGTGGGTCACAGGGACGAATTCATCTTCTTAGTTTGCTAGTGAAGGAGTCTGTGGACACGTTCAATACTGCTCTCACCCGGTCCCTTGTGGAGTTTGACAGGTATGAGGCGAGTCTGTTCTCGCCCGAGGGTCAACGGTCGACGCTGGCGCGGGAGATCTACCATATCAAGCGTCGAGCGTCGGTGTACGCCCGCACGCTGAACCTTATCGGCGATGCCTACACCCATGTGTGTAGTGCCCTCCCCATCTTGCCGACCAATGTGCAGTTTCAGGATGTACAGCAGGACATTGCGCATGTGAGATCGATTTCAGAAGAGTTAAACGCCAACGCCGACTCTGTTCTACAGCTTCTGTTCCAGTTATCTTCCTACCAACTGAATGAGCTGATGCGTGTGCTGACCATATTTAGTGCTTTCTTCATTCCGCTGAGCTTCATTGCTTCCATCTACGGCATGAACTTCACTCACCTGCCTCTTCTAGAGGATTCTTATGGACATGTGTATTGCGTTGCGTTCATGCTGGTGGTAGGAGGGGGACTTGTTATGTGGTTCAAGCTAAAGCGTTTTATGTAAGGCCGTCAGTCAAGGCGGCATGAGTTGCTGAATGAACCACAAAGAAACTGATCCTAATGTTGTTGTTGTTGTTTTGGCTATTTTGATGAGATAGTAGGTTCTGCTATAAGCGGAAAGGTGTATTTGAATACCAGAGATCTCTCTCTGTCTTTTCATGGCTATGTTTCTTTTTTGATCCATCTGATTTGTTCAGTGTCTCTATACCTCTTGTCTGGACTTGTCTTTTTCATTCTTTTTTTCATCTGACGAGGAAGGTGTGCGCTTGGGGGCGACGCCTCCCTCCTGCCGTGTTGATATCACTGCCTCTATAACCTGTTAATATTTGGACATCCGTGGATAAGTTAAACCCGTGGATGTATCAAGAGAGCAGCGTGTTCATCTCTCACCTTTCCTTGTCTTCTCTCTTTTCGCTCATCTTGCTTGTTTTCACTTGTCAGTCTTAGGTGTGAGACTCGCTTTTCGTTTTCTTTCTCCTTGTTGTTGCCCGGGGGAGAAGGAGGAGGTATGGAGCCCGCCGTCAAGGAGAGTGTCTCACGCATCCCTCTTCTCAAGACCAAGGCCGGTCCACGTGATAATGAGAAGTGGACCCAACGACTCAAGGAGGAGTACATGTCCCTTATTCAATATGTAGAGAACAACAAGGCAAGCGACAATCACTGGTTCCAGTTGGAGAGCAACGAAAGTGGCACACGGTGGTACGGCACCTGCTGGACGTACTACAAGAACGAGAAGTACGAGTTCAAGGTGAACTTTGATCTTGCCGTCACGTACCCGCAGGCCCCGCCCGAAATTGCGTTGCCAGAGCTGGAGGGCAAGACGGTGAAGATGTACCGCGGTGGCAAGATCTGCATGACAACACATTTCTTCCCGCTCTGGGCGCGAAACGTCCCGTACTTCGGCATCAGCCACGCACTGGCCCTCGGCCTGGGCCCGTGGCTCTCCGTTGAGGTGCCGGCGATGGTGGAGGAAGGTGTCCTCAAGCCAACCGGCTCAGTGGGAAAGTAGGGATGCAGTGCCAGAGAAAGAGAGAGAGGGAGAGAAGTGGATGGGCTGGATCGGACACCCTCCAACATCAATGATCTCCCTGCAAAGGGAGTGTTCCCTTTCGCACGTCTGCAAAAGTGTGTGTGTATTACCCATCATGGTGTGCATAAAATGCTGTTGTATGAGTAACACCATTTCTTTTCTCCTTCTTTTTTTTGTTAAAAAAAATAGTTGAGGACTAGTTTGAAGACAATATCACAAATGGCTATGCTCGGGTTTGGCTCGCTGAGTGAGGCGTACTGCTACTTTACCGCCTTCATGTGCGGTGTATCCATGCTGTTGCCTATTAATGCCATCTTTTCGGCACCACTGTATATTATGCACTACTACCAGTACGTGGTGGATAACCCGGACGCAGAGGCGGAACACACGAATTTCTGGAATAACGTTTTGTCGTATTATAATCTCGTTAATCTCGCTACGGCGCTTATTGTCGAACCGCTAACGCTGACGCGAATATTCCGCCGCATTCCTTTGCAGGTTCGTATGCTTTCGGCTTTGGTGTTCTTGTGGGTGGAGATCATCGTACTGATGGTGGTGCCTGCAGTAGGTTCAACAGAGGTTGGAGCGATGGTAACCATCCTCATTGCAGGTTTTATTTCAGGATCAGGGGTGTCGGTGTTTGAATCCACAGCATACGGGCTATTTAGCGCGTTTCCTCATCGATTCATGGCTTGCTTGATGGGAGGAGCAGGAGTGGCTGGAGCGCTAACCTCTATCTTGCAGATCATTGTGAAGGCCGCGATGCCTGAGGACTATGAGGGCATTCGTGTCCAGTCCAAGATCTTCTACGGGTTAATGGTGGGTATCCAATGTATCACATTTATCATGCTGATATTTCTACGCTGGAACACGTACGCAAAACAGTACACTGGCTCACTGAGCGGAGAACATACACATCACGAAGAGGAACTTGGTGTTACTGAGGGGGCGAAGCCAGGAAAAAATCCGTTGGCTGAGGATCCCAATTCCACTTCAGAGAGTCTTGTTAATACGGATGTTTTCTCTGTGTTTAAAATTATTTATCCAATGACCATTGCGTGCGCCTTCAATTTTCTTATCACTTTGTTATTGTTCCCCACTGTGGTGGTGTCCGTGGACCCGGAGGACTACTGGTATGGTACAATT